TATCACTGTCATCATGTTACCATCATGACCACCATCACCATCGCCATCATCACCATCATCACCATCATCACCGCCATCATCACCACCATCAGCATCATCACCGCCATCATCACCGCCATCATCACCACCATCACCACCATCACCACCATCATCACAACCACCAGCACCCTACCATTGTCCCATCATCATCATTACAGGACCTGAGTGTTGAATATACTTATACTTTTTTCTTCAGTAACTTTGTTGTTTGCATGATTTGATTTTACGATTGGCAGTTTTTGATCATGTTAGTAATTTCTGTACATGGATTCCAAAAAAGGTGAAATCTTTTACCTTGATAATTTAAAAGATCTCTGAGTGTGGCATTCATGAATATGACTTACGAGCTGGCCACTATGCTTCTAAAATAAATCTCCAACTAGGAGGTTTTTGCCAAGCACACAGGAGAGCATTTTCACAGGTGAGTAGGAGGGAGAGGTGGCCTTGGGGGAGGCTGGCAGTTTTCACTGGAAACAGCCACATTGTGTAGGTAAGGAAACACATTCCTGTTTTGTATTTGCAATCTCAGTGTCTTGCAATGAGAACCATCTGCACTGGCTGGCTGCCTTCCCCACGCCACCCTCCCCCTGCCTCCGTCTTTGTTCAAGCTCGTTCAGGCTCCTCAGCCATGTCGTCCTCTCCTGCCTGCCTCAGAACCGGCTCCAGCCGCCTTCTCCAGCAGCGTCTCCTGACACTGTTTCTTCTATCCCCACAGGATGGTCACACTACACACGCTCAGCACCACGGGCTAGGCTTTCAGAGATCACTCTTTCTAGGCAGAGAGAAAATTGTCGGAGGGATCTAGCAGGAGGGAGGACGCATGTCCAGGTAAGAAGCTGCTGTGAAAGTCCCCAGTGGGACACAGTGAGGGCCTAACGGGGAAGGAACCCGGGGCATGGAGTAGGAATTCTAACGGCATGGTCAAGGCTTCTGGTTGTGTGACTCTGAGAATAGAATGGTTTTCAATCAAAATATGAACTCCCCTTCTGTTCCTTCTGCAGACCCCATCACACTTGGCAAGTAAGAAGTACCCAGCAGTGCTGAACTGTGAGTCCTGACGGCTGGCTGCTGCACACACAGTGTGTCCTGGGTGTCAAGCGCTGAGGACTTCACCTGTGTCATTGCATATCATCCCCACTCTGGGAAGAGAGTATGTCTGCCACACCCCTGATGCACAGAGGAAGAAACTGAGGCACACCAAGACAAAGCCACACCCAAGGCACACATGTCGGGGGCAGAGCCAGGATCCAAACTCATTCTGGCCACACTGCTGCCTTGGCTCCCCTGACAGTGTACACTTTTAAAATGGAGCCCTTATATCTTATCTTATGGAGCCTATATTTACCTAGAAAGAAAAGACCAATTACAGTTTCAATAACATATTTTATTTTAATCTAAGAAAAGTGATTAAATTCAAAGGTCAGAAATATATAAGATTATCCAAAAAGTTTAGGATCATAACTGTCGCTTAAACAATGTTGACAAGTACTTGAGTTGGTTTGTGACTCCAAAGGCTCGGGGTTGACTTTGTACAGTTTAACACGCCCCGTTCAGCATCCTCTCTGTGCTCATCCACGGATACTTCACAAGTCATGGTTTGGGTGATTTGGGCCAGGAAGATTTTTTTTCCGATCAAAATTCTGAGCTGAGATAGCCTCAACTTGCCAGACCCAGCTCTGGGACCATCCTCCAAATGGCTCCGTGGGGACAAAGGACTAGTGCCAACCTCTGCCAGTTGGGGCACACACGGGCAGGCCAGTTCTGCTGCCCACAGTATGGGACTTCCCTTGTCACCCTTCCCTCTCAAGAACTCCCCTGTTGCTAAGTCCTTGCACCCTTGAGGCCTCCAGGAAAGAATAAAAGGAATGTGGGAACTGCAGGCCCTTCTCACTGCTGAGGTGAGCACCTTGGGCACAAGTCCTCCTGGCTGTACCTCATTAAGGGACTGTCCATAACTTCTTCAGATGATAATTGAAGGGTCACCTGTGGGTCCTGGGGTGGGTCACAGTAGGAGGGAAGTGGCCATATGTGGGAGAGACACAGTCAGACAAGTGAGCTGAGCAGTCAGTGGTCAGTGGCACCATGTGGGACTGACTTTCCTGAAGAAGGGCTTTCCTCCGGGCCTCCCTCAGCAGAAACAATTCTCTCCAAATCTAACAGCAGGATCACTTAGAGCCTAATGCTCTCAAATAGGAGCTTGAAATAGAAAAACAAAGACAGTTTGAACCAAACTGTCACCATTGTTATGTGGAAATATTCCTTCCTACTGGGGAGCTACCTGCACTTAATTCAATTGTATTAGTGGCTGCTAATTCATGGTGTGAGTGTAATCTCTGGAAGGCAAAAGAAAACAAACACAAAATCCTAAGAAACAAACTGACCCATGGTGATTAACTGCAGAACGGGCCAGCAGCATGTTACAACTTCTGTGGAATCGTGGCACTCCCGATAGACAATTCAGGAGGCTGTGAGCACAGAGGACTGTGGTGACTGTGCTGTGGGAAAGGATATGGATTGCTGCCGGGAGCCTCACCCCGACGTCTCTGTTACAGTGTGGAAGGGGGAGGGAAGGGAGCTCCAATGCATGCAAAATTCATCTCTACCAAGCACAGATTTCAAAGGTCAAAACAGGGCACATACATTGTATGTGATTAATTTTCTGAAGCCAGCTTTCCATTTTTCACAGATTAGAACAGTCTGTTTAAATATCTCATTTCTACAAAGTGAATTTACATGTAAAGTACAAAGTGCAAATACTATGTGTTTTTGTTTTTGTTTTTTTAATTGCTCTTTGGTGAGGGAGTTTCCCACATGTCTAGGAACTGCCTTGGACACCGTCAGCCATTCATCCTTGTTTCCTTGGCTGAAAAAAAGGAGAAAAAAAAGAGACATCATATTAAGAAGCGCATATACTCATCTGTGAAGAGTGAGCCTTGCCCACCGGAGATAAAATAAACTTACCTGGTAACAACGAGGGAAAAGCAATACTTATAAAACAGACGTGACAAGGAAGTCTGCTGCGCTAACCATTTTAGTCCTAAGGGCCGATGAAAACAATGAAGGCCTTTTGAACACTGGTAACTTCCTGACACTTTCCTTCCTTGATTTAATTAGAAACATCATGCAAAATACACATTGAGAAAATTACTCAGCTTATATTTTGAGCAGTTACTTTGAATATGGTCAGTATACTAAATATTCTACAGAATCCCTCATTACAATCACCAGGGATTCACAAAAATAATTATAATAATATAGTTTATGCTTCAAATTCAATAAAGGCATAGCTGATTTCTTAAATTTCATATTTCATCTCTTCCATTCACTATTTTATTCAAAAACAAATGTGACTTGAAAAGTTTGTTTACTGTATTGTATATGGCTTATTTTTCCAAATGTTCCGATTCTTACGAATGTTAAATCAATCCATGTTTCTGTTTTCTTATTTAAAATAATTAAACTCTAAAGTTTAGAAGCCTTCTGGGTTGGCTTTTATTTCCCTTGGAAAAGATCTGAGCAGGTGATGAGGAGGGAGAGCGTCTTTCCACGCTAAGCTAGTGAGAATTTCTGCTTTAGTTAGGCAGGAAGAGCCCGTCAAGTGCTTCACTGGCTGCTGAAGATGGCTGAGTTGTGGCAGGAGAGGATGGGCTGACACTTGCACCTGTATAAATATCAGCCCGATTGTGTGGCTCTCATCACTCGTGAGTGGTGGTAAATGAAGAGATCGAGGATAGCTGCTCCCTGCAGGCACCCTCCTATCAGCCCTTCCTTTGATATTTCTTGTCTGTGGTTATTCATAGAGTGATATGCTTTGGTGGTTGGTACGATTTTATTCTTCAAAGAAGTATTTATTGTCTTCAATTACTATGCCATGTGTAAGCCAGCTGGCGTGTCCCTCTGGACTCTATCCCGGGGTCCTGGTCTGCAGTCACAGGCACTGAAGTAACGGCCTGCAAGTCGGGATATCCGTGCAGCTCTGCACCAAGGGTGGGAGAAACCGCCCTAAGTTTCTTTTTCTGGGAAAAGCAGGAGAGTGGGGCTTGTGTTTTGAGTTGAGTTAATTTCAGATTAAGGGGTGCACACGTGTGCAGTCATTGCCATTGTCTAATGAAAACAACCCTCTGGAGGTCTTTGGAGCGAGAGCAATTGCTTCCAGACCAGCCCTGTTTTAAGTGCAAGTGATTTGTGGTGGGATATAAAAAGTTAAAACCATAAACATTTGCTAAACAGAAGAAAACGTGTCACACATCTCTCCTGTGTGTGTTGGAGGTCTCCACTTAAAACCCACAATAAAAACAGGGGCCTGGCTTAGGGAACGCCAACCTGACATCAAACAGGTGCAGACAAAATCAACAACAAATTGACTCGAGCCAGTAAGGAAAGGGGCTTTGCCTTGGCTTTGATGAGAGCAGAAATGAGTCCACTCATGTTTATCTTCTGGAAAATGTTCTCTGCTTGTGATAGGTTGTGGCTTGGGTGGCTGGAGGGCACCACAATTGCATCCTTTAATTGCATATGAACAGAGGTAGATGCAGAAACACAAACATGTGTTTATGAACACACAGCAGGAAACTGGAACCCCCTTTAGAGCCCAACACTTGTCTCATTAGAATCCCTGGATGAAAAGGGTAGTCAACTTATATACCCAGAGTGACGCCTGTCCACACAGCCTCAACAAAATGTAAGAAATAAATTACAGACACACAGACAATAGTTTTAAAAAGCCATGTCCACAACACAAGGGAATTCACAATTTTTAAAAATAATATAATGGAAAGTTTAGATTAAAAAATCAAGGCAAAATCTTTATGTTAATGATTCCACAAGTTGATGACTTCAGATAGAATTTTCCAAGGCTGCCTTAGTCCCTGCAGGGAGTGATAGGTGCCTCTCTCAGACCCTGATTTCTTGGAAAGGACTTATCCTTTGCAAACTTCATGACTCTGAATTTTCATTGTCTTGTCTATAGGCTATGATATAGACATACCCACCTGTCTATTAGAAGTGTTTTCAGCATTCCCTCTAGGGGCTAGCAGGAAAGAAAAAAAAAGATATTATTAAAAATCAAATATTCTTCATTTACTGAAAGATTCCATATAATTTCAGGAAGGGATCCATATCACTTTATCAAGGTGTTATCAGCTGAAAAATTTATTTACATAAGAAAAACTATAAGCAATCCCTTGCTATCTGAGGGGGACTGGTTACAGAGTCCCAGCATAGCAAAATCTGCAATGTTCAAGTCCCTCACATGAAATACACGGTATTCACAGTCATCCTAGGCACATATTCCCACACACATTTATTTCTATGTACTCAATTAAAAAAATACTGATCGAAAAGCAAAAGTATTCTATTTTCAAATTCTAATATTAAGGCAAATGGAAACACAATATAGACAGGTGAAATATAAGTAAATTCTAAATATATTAAACAGTAGCTAAATCTATTATTTTCTTCAATTGTAGGATTCAATTGATCTAAATGTCAAAATAATTGTTGCTACTCATCTACTTTCCTTTGCCTGAAATGACTACTTTAGAGAGAATATTAGGCTTTGTGGCTAATGGTACAATATTTAAAAATATTAAAGTGAATCTATTCTGAGCCAGTTTGGCTACTCAGCAACTGCCAGTTATTTTTTTTGTTGTTGTTGAATTGTTTTATGATTAATATCCATCTCCCTGACAACTTAGACAAGTTACAGTAAGAAAAAGTTAATATTCTTATGTGTGAAGAAAAAAGCATGGCTATATAGATGAAAAGAATGTAAATCTCATGAATGACACCTGCCAGGATATTTTATTTAAGATTTAGTAGGAAAAGCACTTTTTAAAATATGTGAAAGGAAGGGAAATCATAATCACTAATTAATGTTAATGGAACAGTGCAAACCATCAAAATAAACACGTACCATTGCTGCAGGGGTAAGGGCGGCTACAGGAGAGAGAAAGAGAGAGTGGATTTCACAGCCACCGAAATAAAGTTCAGAGATAGCGGCAGGGGTAGTTTACATCATGTGGTATCAAATGATATTGATTGTTTCCAGGTGACCTGGCAAACCACGATTTGGCCATAAGGCAGTATTCAGAAAGAAATGTAGCTAGCATGACAATTAGGTTGAAAAAGTAAATTTGGTCAAAAATGAACATCTCCTAATGGCTGAATGTCTGTGCAAAGGTAATTTTGGAGAACTATGTGGGCATGTTGTAACCTTGTCTAATTTCTTTTTTCTGAATTCTTTAGAACTATGTCCTTTCTTGGCTTTATAATTTTTCAATCATTTTCAGGCAATTATTTCCTTTTTACATTTTATATGCTGAAAATTTATTTTTTAAAGCAGTTCTTCAGACCAGTGTCATTAGATTGCTTTGATAATATCATCTGCACAGTTATAAAGTGAAGTACATTTCATGTTGCTGTAAAAATGGATAGATTTAAGTCTCTCCCTAAGCCAGTGAATCTGTTGTACTTTACAGGCAGCCAAACTGGAACGCTTCCCAAATTGGACTTTCTGATGCTACAGACATACCTTCTTTCTGGTGCCTCATTAATAGTGAAAATTTAGAACAAACTTTTCAATATATCTTATTTGCAATAATTTAAACACAAATGCTTTTGTGATTTCTTAAAATAAATATGATTAATGTAGAAAGCACATATACATATTACGATCCCATTTTGTAGGGAAAAGTTGTAGCACATATTTACATAGATGCACAGAAGTGTTCCTTGGAAATAGAGGAAATTAGTTCTGCTTATCTCTGAGAATTCAGGTAAAATTTTTTATGTTCTTCATTTTATTTCTCAGTTTTTAGAACAAAAAATGCATTGGTCATAATGAGAAAAATATAGGAAACAAATGAAGTTAGAATAGTTTGAATATTTATAGGGTCTCAACTAATTTCTTCCTGCATATTCAGGTTTTTCTGACTTTTTAATGTTTCAAGGTAGAAAAAATAACTAATAATAAAATGAGAGCAAAACACAGTAGGAAAAAACTTAGAAAAATTCTGTAAAGAAAATAAAAGGATGGGTAGGGCGCTGGCCCCATATACTGATGGTTGCAGGGCAGGTTCGAACCTGGCCCTGGTCAGTTAAAACAGCAGTGACCACTGCAACAAAAAAAGCCAGGCCTTGTGGCAGGCGCCTGTAATCCCAGCTACTTCAGAGGCTGAGGCAAGAGAATCCCTTAAGCCCAAGAGTTGGAGGTTGCTGTGAGCTGTGATGCCACAGCACTCTACTGAGGATGCCAAAGTGAGACTCTGTCTCAAAGAAAAGAAAAAGAAGAGAGAAGAAAAGATTGCAAGATCAAGGAAACGTGCGTGTATATTCACATCCCCCAGTGCTTGCTTTTGACCAAACTGCTACTTTCACCAAGTTGTGGCTTATTTTCGGGGATAGACTATGTACCTTTCCTTGGCTACTATTATAATAAAAAAATGATAAAACTCTGACATATCAGATTATTCAGAGGGACCTAAAAAAGTTAATCAACAGTCCGCAGTGATAAACATCGCTAATAGTGACCATGATGCCAGGAGAGCTTGTGTGAAGTTCCATCTACTATTCCCCTGCGCTGCTGGCCTGTCCCTCTCCCTGCCCTTTCAGGAGGCCTTGCAACATCCCTGGGCCAGTCTCTGGCTCGGCCAGGATCAGCGGAACACTAGTTCTGAGACTGCTCTGCCTGAATTGTGTGGGTGGTCCAGCCTTTCCTCCTCTGGCCTCTGCCATGGACACACCTTTTCCCCAGGATGCCTAGAGCTACCCGTCCCCAGAGCAGACCCGCGGCAGTCTGCAGTGTTACATTACAGGGCTGGAAGGATAGGCAGAGGCCAATGAGATTCTGTGGTTGCTCCTTACACAGCAGCCCTGTGACAGATGACCACCTGTTGGTGAAGGGGACAGCAGTAGAGCCTGAGCTACTCCTACCTGCTCCCTCCCGTGGGACCTCAGAGGTCTCCCCAGCTGACCCTGCCAGGGAGGGGATGTGGCTAAAACTGCAATATGACATCAGTCTGGGAGCCTGAGAAGATGCCAAAATAAAAGCAGCATCAAGGGACACGGGGAGGAAAGCAGCTGGTCTGAACGTGTTTCCCAAAGTCCACGTGCTGGAAACTCAGTGTCAGTGCAGAGGTGTTTGGAAGCGTGACCTCTTGGGGCGGTTAGGCCCTGGGGGCTCTGCCCACTGGAATGGGCCACCTGGGCCCTAGACAAGGACAGCTTGACCCCTCCTCTTTGCCCTTTCTTTGCCCTTCCACTATGAGAAGACCAGTGAGAGGGCCCTTGCCAGAGTCCACCCTTGATCTTGGACTTCCCAGTCTACAGAACCCTGAGAAATATACTTCTGTTTGTGACAAAGTGCCCATCTTGGGTATCCATTACAGCCCTACAGACAGACTGGAAGACAGTCCCAGAGCAAGAAGGTGAAGGGTCAGGAGAGCTGTGAAGGGCAGGCGTCCAGCACAGAGCAGCCAGGAGCCGTGTAAGGGCCTCTGCGAAGAGTGGGCACCTGGCTTTGCACTGAGTGCCTGGGAGGCCGCAGGTGCACCCTAATCTAGATAAAGGAGACCCCAAACAAAGAGTAGCCCAGAAAGGGGATGATCTCCCAGCCCTCCAACCTGCTGTAAGACCCAGATCAAAGGGCAGAGACTACAGCACACTTGAGTGTCCCCATCTGTCAAGAAAGTAACAGCAGTGTCTCTCCTGTCGCCTCATCACCCTGGGTCGGCTGTAATAAGATGGAGCAGGAGTAGATCTGGAGCCCCTTCCAGCCCCTGGGGCAGCTCTAGTTGGGCGCCACAGCCTCCAGGGGAAGTGGGGTGCGCCAGCCCAGTGATGTCCTCCCTGCTCATCTTGTTCAAGGTCAGCCCCACTCACACTCACCAGAGTCCCTGATAGAGAAAGTCTAGAACAATGATGTGGCTTCTCAGCCTTTCCTGTGAGATGGCAGAAGGACCACCAGGTACAGCAGGTGACCCCCCTGCACACAGAGCCTCGCCTTTGCCATGTGGCCCCCCGTGAGACAACTCAGGACGACAGGAAGTGTAGGAGCCCGGGACCCATGCAGACATCTGCACAATGAGGCTGGGTTTTCCAGAGTTGGCTTCTAGTACAGAAGTTAACAAGGAGCCGTGTCACAACGACAGGGCCCCACCTCAGAGGGGTGACGCTGGGTGACTGCCATGATGGGTACTGTAGGAAGCTACTGCCCTCTAGAACGCTCAGTCCAGGTGGGCCCCAGGCTGGGCACAGACAGCACAGAGGTCAGTGCACCAAGCTCATACTGCTCCCTAAGGATGTAGCCAAAGCAATAACAGAAGAAAAGAAACACAAAATGCCCACAGGGTGGGACAGCCCCAGCCCACCCAATGCCCTGTCATACAAATGAGGAGGCTGGGACCCCACGTAAAGTAGTGTGTCCAGCCCACACACAGCGGCCATCTGGCCTGGCCTCTGAGGCCTGACTCTCCTATGTGTGGACACTGGGGCTCTCACAGTGGTGAACTGTCTCACCTCCTGTAATACTGGGAGTCAGGCCAGGCCCACAAAAAAAAATTCTATAAGTGAAACAGCTAAAGCCACTGGGATAACTGGCCTGAACAGCAGTGGTTATTTGACTATTGTAAACTGGACTGAGTGTGAGTTCCTGCCCTGGGCAGGAGTTGTTGCCAATGACTCCCAGATTTGCACTCCAGATACCAGAAGGCTAACACCTTCAGAAATCCCGTCACTGTGAATTGCCACCAAAGACCCATCTCAAAACCAGCACTCAGCTCCGGTTCACAGGAGCAGAGAGCCCGCCTGACCCTGGGTGGGTTTCTGATGTTCTACTATTATTTCTTCACACAGGAGATCTACAAATCTATAGACAATTAATTTTTCTTGTGCCCTCAGACCGTGAGCACAAGCTACCAAGTGTGAGAAGCAAACTGCACAGGCAGCTGACGCGGGCGCACAAGTTCACGGCCGCGTAAAGCTCTTACTGTGACGTTTCCTGGTGTTGGTCTTGCCTTCCTCCTTGGTGACGCCCAGGCAGCCCATCAGCTCTTGCAAGGAGATGGATTTGTCATTGTTCACGTCACAGTATTCAACAAACTTCTTCACACACTTTTTGGGCTTTGACTTTTTCCGAAGGAATCTCTTAAAGGGCTTGATTTCCTTCTTGCCGATGTCCCCGCTGGAGTTTCTGTCCAGCAGTTTGAAGTACCAGTGCACCACTCTCTCCTCCAGCGTGTGGCTGGGATCGGGTTCCGAGAGCCTACAGAGGCACAGCTTAGTCAGGACACTGACCACATGGCTGTCTCTCCCCTTACCACGGCCCCCAGCCAGACTCATGCCCCTGCTGTGCTGGGCACGGTCCAGCAGCCTAAGCCTGCACCTGTCACGCATCGGTCCCCACGACAATATTAAACAATTAAATTAGAGGAGACCTAGCAGACATTTTTCAAGTTAGTTTCAAAATTGCAACTCATGTAGTGAATTTGTGCAGATCAAGATACAGACAAGTGTGGCCATTGAGGGCAATATCCAATGCTTGAAATGCCACAGCACCGTGCTCGGCACCACCGCCCTGAGCGTGACCTGTAGAAAGTGAGCTACGTCTGCCAAGAAGGAGGCGACCCCAGGAGCATCTACAAGGTACTTGGGCAGAATGTGTCTCAGGCTTCAGAAATCCCATTCTGAACATTGACTGTAACTGACGCTGCTCAGTCAGGCAGCTGAAAATGGGTAAAGTGGCAAACGTGTGGCTAAGGACTCTGCCGTAGTAAATCACAGTCTGAGAACTTTAAATGTTTCCAATCTTAGTATCTAAAATCCAATCTGTAGCTCTAAAGCACATTCCAAAATGCAAAGCCAGGGAAGGAGGCACTCTCCCTCTCCCTCCACCACCCTAGCCTCCTCACTGCCAGCAGGGACAGTGACCCTGCCCCATGGAACCCCGGGAATCCCTGCCCCAGGCCTCTGAGATTTAGATGCATCCCAAGAAAAATATGTTGTAGAGACAGCACCTTTTCTGAGGTCTTAGTGTGTTCAGAGAAGCTGACAGGGTATTAGGTATCTAAAGACTGAGCTTCCCAGATTCCTTCCCTCAAATCCAGGGTCTCTGGCTACTCACTGTCCCAGACGCACAACACACCTGCCAGATGGGGAGGACGGGTCAGACACAGCGTGGACCATATCTGTGGAGAGTGCATCTAGAACACTGGTCAGAAACTCGTGCTTTTTGGCACCAGGACAACCTGGAAAAAACAATGTACATGTTTTCATATTTCACAGAACTCTCCAGGTATGATGGGATTTTTCTGTAGTGAGAAGAAATGTTTTATATTTGGAAATTATTATGTTGGGCTATCTTAACATTGATGAGCTAATCTGCATACTTAAAAACACATTACAATATGTGTATACAAATACACAGATGTTGAACTGCTGTTAACTGTGACTTCTAGCATTCTTTGAGTTACTATGTGAGATGAAGATTCACAGGCATTGATAGTTTATTGATGGTCAAAACAGCAACCCCAGGTGGGAGGCAGTACTGGCCCTGTGAGGTACCTGACATTCAGAAGCTCTGGACACCGCCAGCACACTACTGAGAGCCGACAATGGGGCTGGGGTCCAGGTGCGTGCCAACACGAGGCTGCAGCTCACCCCAGCCTGTGCACTATCCCAGACCCAGCCCATTTCTCAGAACCAAAAGGAGACAGGGACAGGCTCTGCACCTGACAGTCGGGTGGGGTGTACTGCCCATGATTTCAGAGCTTAGAGCTACTGTGTGTGGATTCTCAGCTCTGGGAGTAGCTTGGGATTCAGTGTATCTAAACTCACCATTGCTCAATAGACCTCAACACTCAGATATCAGGTAACTGCCTTTTCCCTCTCACACTATCCTTCTGGAATTCTCTGAATTGCCTGCCAGAGACATTCTTCTTACCCCAAACTCAGGGTAGCATTGAAAGAAGCCATCCACTCACTCTGGGGCTGTTCCCTCCTGAAAGCCCTGAGGATGGGACGCCACAAAGGACGAGGGCTATTTCCACCATGGCTGCCCTCCTGACACAGTGAAGACTCCTGGTAAGTGACCATGGAACAAATAAGCAAAAGAAAGAGACAGAGGCATCATCTTTGCTTTGCGAATGAAAGTGTTGGCTGGCCGCCACACAGAGCTGGGAGGTCAGGAGGGGTGGGGCATCTGGGGACTCTGCTGACTCTGGGGTCAGCTGGTGAACAATGTCCCAATGGCCCCATACTCTCGTTTCACTCACCTGGGTGTAAAGATCAAGGCAGAGGCAGCAAGTTTGGCTTATATATCATTTACATTTAATAATTTTTTTTTCTAAAAATGACCTTAGAAGTGTTTGGTAGAAAAAAAGAGGAAAACAAAGGGAGGATCCAACCGGCATCAGGTCTAAGGGCCACAGGCCTGCCCCACATGCCTCGGCCTGCCTGGTGTCCCGCTGTGTACTCTGCACACCAGGCACCCTCAGGCCGAGGACCTGTCCCCCACATGCCTTGGCCTCCCTGTTATCCACTGTCCACTCTGCACACCAGGCACCCTTAGGCCTCGAGCCAGCCCCCCACATGCCTTGGCCTGCCTGGTATCCACTGTCCACTCTGCACACCAGGCACCCTCAGGCCGAGGACCTGTCCCCCACATGCCTTGGCCTCCCTGTTATCCACTGTCCACTCTGCACACCAGGCAACCTCAGCCTCTGCTGCAGGGAACTTCCCCAAACCACCTGTGTCCAAATGTACCTTGGACTGTCCTCACCACAGCAAGACAGGAGTTTACACTAAGCAGTTAGCAAAAAGCTGACTGCTGCCAAATGCAGGTTAACTTTCTAACAAGGAAAGCTTTTCAGTGGTTCTCAATCTTCCTAATGCCCCGACCCTTTAATACAATTTCTCATGTTGTGGTGATCCCCAACCATAAAATTATTTTTTTTGCTACTTCATAACTGTAAGTTTGCTACCTTTATGAATCAGAATGTAAACATCTGATACGCAGGAGAACCCCAAAGGGGCTGCGACCCACAAGTTGAGAACCACTGTTTAGATAGTCCCTCCAAAGAGTCTCCAAACCTCTAAGGCCTGCCCAGTGAGCAGAAGACCAGATCCACAAAGCCAGGGGCAGGTGGTGTGTCGAGTTGAGGGGACCAGCCATTGTCTGCCCCTTCACAGTGGCCCATCCAGGAGGACAGATCATCTGAAACTGGGCAGTGTGTCTCAGAAAATGGTCAGCAGAGAGGCCCACAAGGAGACCACATGTGTTTTGGGGACCCTGGGGTGATGGGATGTGCGTGGCTTTCACAGAGGCCACATGCCAGGCGGTCACGGCCCTCAGACACCAACATCTCCACAGGGCTAAAGGCTCTGGTTTTCATAAGTTTCCTCTGACACTGGGTTTTTATTATTATTATTCCAGCGTATGCTGGCTGCCGATAGCAGAAATGCATTTATGCCTGTTTTCACTTCATTAAATGCACATGTCAGTAACAGATGCAAACCATTAACAGGGTGCAGTGGAGCTGGAGAGTAGAAGGCTGTTTGTCCCCTCTGCACACGACCAAAAAGCAGATTACAATCCATAGAAACACCCATGGGCGCGGGAAGAATGCTACTTTCAAAGAAAAAAGTAACTTATCTCCTTAGACCTTCCCTTGGGAAGACGCACAAGCTGTGGGGGTGGGGGGTCCAGGGGTGGCAGGTGGTCAGCAGCTCCTGCCCTGCCACGGGCAGTGAACCTGGGCCCCGATGCCAAGCTGCTGAGCAGCAGGGACCCCACTGGAGGGGCAGGGACCAGAGCCTGCAGTGTGGGGCCTCCTGGCTGGGCTTAGAAACTCGAGATGGAAGTTCCAGTGGCCACCTGTCGGCAGGCCCACCAAGGACACCCTGGGCCCCTCTCTTCCCCTCCCCCACTGGCCCATGGCGGCCTATTCTGTGAATTCCCAATTCTGCATTGGCTTCCAGAGACCCCAAGAAGAAACTGAGGTGTAGATGAAGAAAATCTTGGTTGTCTGGCTGGGAAGGGGGTAGCGTGTTAGGTAATTCTCAGAAGTGACTTGGGGCATGCTGGTATGTGCCGTAGCAAGGACTTTAACTAGGCACACCAAGGGATTCTGTGGCTGTTAATTTAATCACGTCTCCTGAAGTGAGGTATAGCAACATAATATTTTTAATTAGAAAATATTACATAGGCTCAGCTCCTGTAGTTCAGTGGTTATGGCAACAACCACATACAGCAGGGCTGGCAGGTTCGCCCCTGGCCTGAGCCTGCTGAACAACAATGACAAATACAACAACAAAAACAAAAATAGCTGGGTGTGTGGCCAGCACCTGTAGTCCCAGCTATGTGGGAGGCTGAGGCAAGAGAATCCCTCGAACCCAAGACTTTGAGGTTGCTGTGAGCTGTGATACCACAGCCTCTACCAAGGGTGATGTAGTGAGACTCTGTTTCAAAAACAAAAAAAAAAGAAAGAGAAAAAGAAAATAATACGTAGTATATATTCATATGAATCAAACTCCAGGTTAACATCAAATGTCAAGATGTAGGATTCTAACACGGAAAGGACATTTAACATAAAATGTGTAATCTACTTTTAAAACAAGAAACACTAAATCATAAACCATTCCTGCTCAAGTCTATTCTAAAGCCATGGGTGGATTCTGGGCCGTGAAAGGCTCAGATCCTCCTGCTAAGGAGCTCGTTTCACAGCAGCAGGGTATTCGAGTCCAAAAGAGAGTATCTTGCACCTTCACGTACAGAGACGCTGAACTTCATTCTGTGTAAAGAGGAAGAAGAAAGAAGAAAGGGCCTCCAGCTCTGAAAGTCAGAGCGGCCACACCCCTGACCTGAGGGGTCGTCAGTGCTTCCCGAGACACGCTGTGATTAACAACCAGAGACCACATGTGACGTCCACTGCCACAGAAGTCCTGTGCTTAGTGTCCATTTGGCCAACAAATCCCAGGACCTGGCACAGGTGCTGGGACCCCGTGGTGAGTGGTTAGAAGCCTACATGTCCTGACATCCTTGTACCATCTGCCCGGGCGGCAGGGACGCTGGCTATCCTGAGAAGCATGGCTGGTGCAGTTTTAGGGACAGCTGCCCCAGAGAGGGGGACAGCATGTGTCATCTCCAAAGGGGCTAAGGGAATAAATAGGGACAGTGCTGGCTCTGACTGGAGCTTCGCTACCGAGGCACACGCAGCCTGTGGAGGTCGGGGACGGAACAGTTTCATTTTGAGTGTGGACTGGACGTGAGGAGGCGGCAGGGAAGGAGACCACCGGTCAGTTTGTCTCACATTACGCAGCACCTGCCTTTGAGAAGAGCTGCCTCTTTATGGAAGCAAGAGGTCCTTGTCATGTTCACCCCAGAAACTGGAATAAGGATTTTTATTTATGATGAATGATTACAGTTCAAAGCTATTTCTGAAGGGGAAAAATAGGCAAATAAAAATGTAAAGTTGGAAGAAATCAATAGGAAAAAGCCCTAAATAAGCCATTAAAGTGAGTATTCACCATAGAAGAAATGACAGTAGTACCCTGAAATGAAAATTTCACCACCACAACATGCCCAGTCTTGTGCCTGGACAAGAGAAAACCATGGCTTAGAATAAAAAAGGAAACAAAAGTAGCCAGTCTGTCCCCGTTAGACACAGGGGACACCCCACTCCTCCTGACAGGTCTGCCAGGCACATGATGACCACAGAGCGAGACCCTTAGCCTCTGCACGGTCAGCTTCCTGCCTCCTGCCCTGGGGCTCTGGGGAGTGTAGACTTCCATCCCAGAGAGGGGCCTGCTGACCAAAGAAGGCTGAGGAGCTGGGCGGAGAAGGGGTCGTGTCCTCCCTGGCCTCACCTCTCTTCTCATGTGGTCATTGTCCACTTGGGGATGACAGCATTCATAACACCACTCTGTCAAAGGGTTGCATCAAGGCTGCTGCACAGCCTACAGACCCCATGATGTGACACAAACACCCTGTTTATCTGGGGATAGTTCTACTCACAGCTCTGTTCTCCAACTCTCTAAATAAACATGGAACAGAGTAGAAAAGTCTTAGATCATCAGAAGTGTGACACACGGCAGACACACACATACATATGTGCACACAGACACACTCAAGCGCACACATGGTCACACTCACACACATACACACATGCCACGCATATGCCACACATGGTCACACTCACATAGACACATGTCCACTTTCACACACTCACATACAGGCACACAATCACAC